AGCTGAAACCATCTAAATAATATCTTTTTGAATAAAATAGTCTTTTAAAAAAGAAATCAGTCTAACAAATAAAACATTTGTATGTTTTAAGTTATTTTTCTCTGACAGAAAGACAGATACTTCTTTCTGWCTTTAAAAACAGAAAGAAATATCTGTCTTTCTGTGTGAAATACAGATATTTGCTGCTTGGACTGGAGAGTGTGGAAAGCTGGTTTAACCAAGGCTGAAGATGCAGAAGACCAAACAGGAGCTGTCCATCTGAGGGACGTGTAGTCTAAAAGACATTTAATCATGAAATGTTCAGTTTGTGATGTTTATATGACATACTGTACACCCAGCCCCTCGGCCACTTAGGTATTTTACAAAATTTATGCAGATTAAAAGAATAAAATAAAAACTCGGTGGACTGATTTGGCATGATGTCCTGAGACGTTGCAGCTGATAGGAGTCATAAAACAGAACAGGGGGACGTTAGATGCCTGGACGCCCCTCTAGATAAATGTGTTAAATGAGTGAAGGAAAATATGAGCACCAAGCAACAACCCTAGGTTCTCCCCTGAACCAGAMCAAAAAGTTTATGTGCAACCCTGTATATAWATATAGGATTAAATGACACACTTTGTTCTATCAGCAAGTTTAGGAAAAAATAATGTGTTGTTTATTACAGCACACACTTCTGTTTTCCACTAGTTTTTTTAGCTAGCAACATGAAGCACAACCACTAATAGAAGAGTTGAAGACGACCTGCAGATGGACTTGCCTCAGGGTGAACCTGTCTGATGTGGTAAGTATAAACTGATTTAGGCTCATACAATCCACAAGTGAATATTGAATTGTTAAACATAACTGTATGTTCCACATTACTATTATTTATACTGTATATTTATAGATTTTTCCTAAGCAACAGGAAGCCACTGAAGAGAGACCAAAGCAGTCCACTGACCACCTCTACAGACTGCCTGATTGTCCCGAGGCTTTACACACTAAACTGAAGGAGCCACAGCTGCAGTGAGGAAACTGCAGCTGGAGAAGTCCAATGCCTTGGCAAGAGAAAGGAGGGCCACGAAAAACATATGTTCTGCAACAGGACTGGACACGATGATTTGATTAATTAAACAAATCAGTCTTACTCAGATTTGTGGGGTGGTTGTTGGTTTATTGAAAGAAGGCAGACATTGTCTTTGCATCCCTTTTGAAATTAATACATGTTTCCATAACAATACTAACAAGGTCACAGTTAAATCCTAGTGTGTTTCTTTTTAGTCCTGGTTTTGTCCTGGTTTTCAGTCTGGTAAAATGTCATCCATTAAAATATTTCAGTTCTGATTTAGGCTCATTTTAGTCTAAAGTCTCACCTAAAACCAAATTGGGTTGAAGTTGTTATATTTATGCCTTCTGAGGGTGTATATGTATTTTTTTAAAATTTTGTTAAGTAAGCCGCTTGAGGTCTTCCTATTTTTTAGCAAATATTTCATGTTTATTGTGAATGAATCGCACTAGTGAAATATGTTTTCTGATAAATGTTGTACAGAAACATTAGAGCCAAAATGTTATCAAAAGTATAATTTAGGAAGTTATAATTGAGTATATATATGTATGTATATATATATGTATATGTATATAAATGTATA